AAGCACCGAGTATCTCTGAGGCAGTGGGGGCCTGGCCCCAAGCCTGGAGGGCCCGCAAGGCCTCTGGGAGGCCAGGGGTGCTGGGCGGCCTCCTGGACCCCAATCCTCAGGCAGGGCCTCATGCAGTCCTCGTGGGCCACCACACACACCCATGAGGATACAGAGAGAGCCCTTCAGCCCTGCCTCAGCCTGGCCCCCTCAGCTCCCTAGGTAGGGGCCTCTCCCAGCCGCATCTCTGCCTGCCAGACCTGGTGCCAGACCCCCTGGAGGTTAGTGGGAGAACACCAGCTTTGCCCCAGAGCTGGGCCCTCCCCCTCCCCAGCTTGCTGGCTAGGTGCCCCCATACACGTGCCACTCCTGCCTTCCTCTGCAACAGGTTGCTGCCAACCCCACACCTTCTCAGACTGCCTTAATTTCTGTCCCTTCTATTTCCTACCTCAGGGATGGGCTGCCCCACCCTCACCCCCACCAGGATCGTAGGAGCCAGGGGCTTGTTGCTTAAATCTCTTTCTTAAGAGCCTGTCTCTCCCTGCATGACGCCCCCCCTTTGCAGAACCATCCTATTTGTGACTGAATGTTGGATTGATCGATTGAACAAATGAATGAGGGAGTGAGTATGGACCCTCCCTCCTCCTCTCCCCTCCTCAGCAGACCGGGGTGTTCCCCCCTGCACACACACATCCGGTTCTCCGGGGGGAGGGGGGCGGGCGGCTCCTGTAGTCGGCATTCCCCAGGGGCCATCCACTGGCCGCCCTGGCTCCCAGGCTTTCTCCCTTATAAAGCCCGGCAGCAGACACCCAGGAATTCGGCTGCCACCCATGACGCATGCTGGCTTCAGGCCCACCTGGCTGCCCCCAGGCACCCAGGAAGGCATCAGGAGCTGGGCACCGGGGAGATTGCCAGTGGGTGAGCAGGGTGCTCAGATGAATGGGCACCAGGCAGGGCCTGGGTGGTGGTGTTCTGTCCAATGGCTTCATCTCGGGAGGCTCGGTGTAGCTGTCAGCAGACAGGACTCAGGGCTGCCCCTCTGGACTGATCTGGGGCCAGGGTGATGCCCCCGGAACAACCACAATGGGAGACAGACCGGAGACCAAAGCAGGGAGAACTAGAGTCGGGGAGGGCCAGGGTCAGCAGCCTCCCTCCAAATTGGACATGGCCCTGTGCTTGAGACCTACGTCTGGCCAGCCTGAGAGGGCTGGGGAGCAGATGGCACTGCCAGCAGCCCTGGGACCCCCTGCTCCCAAAACCTGCAGAGAATCAGGCATCGTGGTGGGAGGAAGCCACATACTTGGGGCCTCCTGGGCAGGTTCCAGGTCCCCATTGACCACCAGGGAGTGCCCCTAGGGCCAGGAAACAGCAGCGCCACCGGTGTCCTGCCAGAGGGGACTTGCTGGGGGACTTGGCCTCAGCTCCCCGCCCCCCCCCATACCCCACCTTCCCATTGGAGAGAGGCGTTCCAGAGAAGAATACAGGCTCTTTCTGTGCCCCCAACCCTAGGTCTCAGGAAGGGATGGAGCGGCCCCACCCTGGGCCCAGACAGCAGGGCCCTATTCACGGGAGGAAGGGCGGGAAGGCAGGAGACTTCACCTTCAGCAAACCTCTCCATGGGCTCCAGACAGGAGGGGCAGGAACCTCCCAGAACACACGGCCCCTTTCAACGAGTCCGGCCCAGCCAAGCAGCAGCGGGCAGGCATCGAAGGGTAGGACAGGCCTGGGCACAATTCCTGCTCTGTCCTGGCAGCGCCCGCCCGCCCAGCCCATGTGCACACACACAAACACACAGCCTTATGCAAACCCAACACATACACCCACCAGCCACCCACAGACTTGCACACACACACGAACACGTGTGTTCACAGCCCCCTGAGCGCTCTGCCCAGGCAGGCTGACACACTTCCTGTCTCTGGCTACAGACCCTGGGGCATCCTGCACCCACCACACCAAGGACATCCCTTCCCGGGTGCTCACGCCCCTGCCCTCTGCACACCCAGACCAGAGAGCAGACCCCTTCCTGGAAGGGCCCTGAGGACAAATCTCCTAGATAGGAGGTGGGGGGCAGGGCCCATGCTGCCTAGTGGCAATACTTAAGTCAGTACAAGGCCCCTTCTCCTGGCCCAGGGGGTGGCCAGGTGCCTACTGCCGGCCTACCTGGAATTGGGGTGAACCCCAGCTAGCACTGACCCAGGGCTGATCCCCACCCACCCCCAAAATCTGGCCCCTGAGCCTGGCTTTCCCTGCTGCCTTTCCTGCTAGCCCTCTGCCTCAGTGGGTGAGAGGGCAGAAGCCCACCCACAGTGGCCCTCCCTAGGTCCCCCTGCCAGTCTCTCCCTCTGCCTCACCACCACCCCTGAAGCTGCCCGTTGCCCTCCCTCTCTGCTCTCTATACCAGCGCTCCCCCAAGAAGTCCCCCAAGACTGCTCCTCTCTCCTGCACCCCCTCTACACCCCGCCCCACAGGAGAGGGGCTCTGGGATCTTGTAACTCCAGCCTGCCCCATCCGTCCATAGAGCAGAGGAGGAGTTTGGGGGAGAGGGGGGTGATGTCAGAGTTTCCAGGGCCCTGTCCAGGGAAGCATCAGTCGGAGCCTCTGCTGGGGCGAGGGGGCTGCCTCGCCCGCCCGCCCGCACGCTCCTCCAGCACACAAGGCAGCCTGTGTGAGCCCTTCCCCGCCTGGCCCCACAGGAAGCAGCAGGGCCCAGCCCCTCAATGGGTCCTTTCAGACCCCAGTGCTCTGGAAAGTACGCTGCTTCCTGCCACCCTCCTGCTCTGGCCTGGAGAACCAGGCTGAGAGCCTGCGGCTCTCCTCTGTGTGTAAGGGGGGGGGCATGACAGGGGGCCATGGGTCAGTGCTGGGGAGCTCTGCCCTTGGTCTGCCCCAAGGGTCTCACACATGCAGCCTTAGCGAGGGGGAGTGGGAGTGCTGGAGGGGTTTATGGGCCGGCTCCAGCAGGGAGGTGAGGCAGGTAAGCACTTGTTGAATCACAGGCTTTCAGTGGGGGGGAGGAACCCTCATTTGTAGCGCTGGCCTCTCTCCGTGGTATAAATATTCCCCCTTTGGGCAACATCTCACAGAATTCCTGAAAATTTAGCCATCAGCCCTTGCCAGCCACTGGGAGCCAGCTCCAGCCCACTCCTAGGGGTGGGAGGTGGGGGAAATCCATCCTGCAGGGGCCCCTGTGTCCACCCCCTGCCACCCTACCCCGTGCCGTGGTCACCACAGCATGGTGCTTTGTGGTTTGCCTGTAAGAGCCAGTGTCCTTGCAGATAAGCCACCACCAGCTCCCAGCCCCCACCACCCTGGTGCTGACAGGCCCCGCTCACAGCTCCATGTACTAGGTCCCTTCCTGGCCCTGAGACGGCTTGGCTGTCCTTGTGTGATTCTCTGCCTCCCAGATGGGGGTCCTAGTGCCCAGAAGTGCTGGTGAGAGGTGATAATTGGGGGTGCAGAGAGGGGGCCTGTAGATCGGCCCCGGGAAGACCATTATCAGACTCTGCCACCCCTCACAGGGGCGGAAGTCAGCTGGCTCAAGCTGGCCAGGGACCGGCACATATGTGGTTGATGCCAGAGCATCCCTATCAGAACCATCAGCCTTGCTTTACTCACATGAGGCTCGGGGGAGCCCGCAAGGATGAATCACTGTTGTTTGTAACCCACTCTTGTCTGCCCCCGACCCCCACCTCCAGCCTGGGCCATCTGGGGGGAGGGGCAAAGTCAAGTGACATTTGGCAAAGGCCCTAGTGGCATAGTAGTGAAGCACTCAGCTACAGGCCTGTTGGCTGATCTGCCTCCGAAAGGTCCGGCCTGGAAAACCCTACAGAGCAGTTCTACCCTGCGCACGCGGGGCCCGCCGTGGGCCGGAGTCGACAGTGGCTGACAGCAGGTCCAGCCAGAAACCAAACCCACAAATGCGAGTCCATCCCGACTCTTAGCGACCCGACAGGACAGGGTTGAACTGCCCCTGGGGGTTTCCAAGGGATAGGAAGCCTCATCTTCCTCCCGTGAAGCGGCTGGTGGTTTTGAACTGCAGACCTTGCAGTTAGCAGCCCAATGTGTGACCCGCTATGCGGCGGGAGCTCAAGGGAAGCTAATTTGGAGAAACTGCGGAGAGGAGGTGGCCATTTAAAAGGAGCCCCGTGTAGGAGGAAAGGGCCCTGCCCGTGAAGCCACTGACCTCGGGCAAACCCAGATGTGGCTTGCTGCCCTGGGAAGCCCTCTTGGCTGCCCAGTGGATGCCTAGCACCTCTCGGGCCCTGTCCTCCAGCCTCACCCGTGGATGGAAGGAAGCTCAGCCGTGCTCGGCCTGCTGCTTGGCCAAGGTGGGCACAATAGGGCCCGGTGTGACCACTCACCAGGGACCGGTAATAATAGCACTGCAGCAGGAAGCAGCATGGGGGTGGAGCCTGTTTGGGATCCAGCACTGCAAGTGGTCTCCCTCTGGCTTCAGCCTTTGCTTCTCAGAGGACTCTGGCCAGCTGGCTGCCCCACCCACCCCGAGTACAGCTGGGAACCTGGCCTGGACAAGAAGGGGGTGGCTTCCCATCTCAGCGCCACCACTGGACACTAGCCATGGCTCCAGCCAGCCCATGGAGGGGGGCACAGCATGACAGTGGCGTTCAGGGCACCCACATTCAGGCAGGAGTCGGGGCAGAACTGGGTCTCCTCAGAAAGGCAGCCACCCAGTCAAGGGATTAGACTAGTGGCCTTTCCATCTGAGCTACGGAGGGGTTGGACTCCACATTGAGGTCCAAAGGAGTGGGGTCAGAGGTGGCCAAAGCTCTGGCCCCAGCAAGTTCCCAGAAGGAGGCTCAAGTTGCTGGGTTTTGCCCGCCTTCGGGGTCCAGGTCCTTGTGCCAGGACTAAGGAAGTGCTGGGATCTGGCGGGTGCCCACAGGGCAGAGCACATAGGAGAGCCAGGAGGCTGCACCAGCATGGGCCCCTGTACCCCCACCCCCTGCGGCCTCCTCCTGAGTCTTGACCACAGCCCTCCTTCCCTGAAGCAGCCTCCTTCTTCGGAGAGAACCACCTGGAGGTGCCCATGGCCATGGCCCTGACCGACATAGACCTGCAGCTGCAGTTCTCCACAGCCCAGCCGGAAGCCCTGCTGCTCCTGGCCGCAGGCCCGGCTGACCACCTCCTGCTGCAGCTCCACTCCGGACACCTGCAGGTCAGTGACATCCCAGGGGACGGGGGCAGGACTCCTCTGGCGTTCAGTGGCCTCCGATGGACTGTGTGACCCGTCTATACATCACTTTCACCTCGTGTTCACATCTGTTCCTTCCAGAAACCGGCCCCCCCGTGCTCACACAGCCCCTAGTGGAGGGAGCTCAAACTGCACGGAGCTACTTTCACTCCCTCCGCGGGCTGGGTGGCTCCACGCCATCAAGGCTCAGCCTAGACTTCCCTTCCCCCAGGAAGCGTCGCCCTGGCACCCACCCTCTCGGGAGCTCCCAGTCCCCCCTCGGTACCCCGCTGCCGTGGCATCAGCGCCACCCTCTACTGCCACTGCCTGCTGCTGAGGGTGATGGGAGGTGCTCATGGCAACCCATTTGTGGCAGTACGGAACACTGTCTATCGCTGCACCATCCTTAGGTTTGAACTCCTTGTTGTGTCCACCCATCTCACCAAGGGGCTTCCTCTTGTCCCACGGCCCTGCTTTACCAAGCAGGATGGTCCTTCTCCAGGGACTGGCCTCTCCCAACCACATGCCCAAACAATATGACATGGAGTTCTTGCCAGCCTTGGTTCTGAGGAACATTCTGGCAGTATTTTCCCCTGGAGACAGATCGATTGGTTCTTTTGGCAGTCCGCGGTACTTTCCACATCCCTTACCAAATGCACCGATTCTCCTTCAGTCTTCCTCGTTCAGGGTCCAGCCTCACCGGCATGCTGAGGAGAGCCCTGCTTTAAGACCACCCCTCCTTCCCGCCACTCCCCTGCTCCAGTCAGCACATGCTGGATCTGCAGGGGGTCTTCCGGCCCCCTCCTGAGCCTTCTTCCCAACCATGAAGGGTTTGGGGAGTTCTGGCTCTTGTTGCTATGGTTAATGGGCGGTTGAGTTGACCCTGACTCCTGGATGCTCCCTTGCAAGACCGAGCCTCACAATCAGATCTCTCAACCTGGCTTCCCAGGGGACTCTGAGTGGATTTGAATAGCCAACCTTTCCATTAGTAACCCAGCACCACTGAGGGACTCCTCCAGGGTCTTACCCAGCCGAAATTTGAGGGTCCATTTGCTTCTGCACCCCAGTGGACATAGGACTGTGGCCTGATGGGGCTCCTCCTACCATAGCTTCTCACTGCCACCAGGTGTCACTGTTGAAGCCTGGCGGCTGGGTACAGACTGGCTCTGCTGTCTCCCCTGCCAGGGTACTGATGCCATACCCTAAGGGGGCGTGCTGCGTGCTAGGACCCCCAGGTCATAGTTTCTAGGTCTTTGCTCTCTCGGTTCCCATGGTTGGCCACGACCCATGCTACTTCTGGTTCTGGTGTGTGTTTGTAAGCCTCCTTCACCTCTCCACCTCCCCAGGTCAGGGACCTTTCCTCTTTGAAACCTTCCAAGCAGAGTATCTAATTGGGCTCCCTGTCCCTGGGCAGTGGGCTGTCCTCGGGGAACTCACCAGGGGGTCCACGCTGCCACTTACTGAATGCACTAGGCCACCGAGTCAATACTGACCCATAGCACTGCCCTGGAGGGCAGGGTAAAACTGCCCCGGTGAGTTTCCAAGACTATAACTCTGTATGGGAGTAGAAAGCCTCATTTTTCACCCTCAGAGAGGATGGTGGCTTTGAACTGGCCACCTTGCAGTTAGAAGCCCAATGAGTAACTCACTATGCTACCAGGGGTGCCCATTATTCCGGAGTAAATGCTTTCTAAATGCCACGGTGATTTCCTGGCAACTCTCAGTCAAGGGAAGGATGCAACGTGAGGAGTGGCTCTCTAGAAGGGCACCTGGTTCCCTGTCAGTCTCTTGTGGGCAGGGACCACATCTGATTCCCATCGGGCCCCCAGAGCCCATGCAGGCCTGGGGGAGGCTTGAGTTTGGGGAGTGTGTGGGCACTGGATGCGGAGGTGCCCAGAGGAGGCCTGGGCTCTGGGGGCCCCAGGGCTGGGGGGCTTGGTGTGTTTGCACAGGAACAGGATGGACTCCGGGTGGGTTCTCCTCCAACTCCACCGCCCCCCTCTCTCCCCAGGTCAGACTCGTCCTGGGCCAGGAGGTGATGAGGCTGCAGACCCCCAAAGAGACGCTGCTGAGCGACTCCACCCCCCACACCGTGGCACTCACGGTGACCAACAGTTGGGCCATGCTCTCAGTTGATAGCCGCCTGAATGCCTCGGGGCCAGCCCCGCCAGCCCCGCTGGAGGTTCCCTATGGGCTCTTCATAGGGGGTACTGGGAGCCTCCGCCTGCCCTACCTGAGGGGAGCCAGCCGCCCGCTGAGGGGCTGCCTCCATGGAGCCACCCTCAATGGCCGAAGCCTCCTCCGGCCGCTGACCCCGGATGTGCCAGAAGGCTGTGCAGAGGAGTTTTCTGCAGGGGATGACGTGGCCCTGGGCTTCTCCGGGCCCCACTCACTGACCACCTTCCCTGCCTGGGGCACTCGAGATGAGGGCAGCCTGGAGTTTACGCTCACCACAAGAAGCCGCCAGGCGCCCCTGGCCTTCCAGGCGGGTGGCCGGCATGGGGACTTCATCTACGTGGACGTCTTTGAGGGCCACCTGCGGGCCATGGTGGAGAAAGGCCAGGGCACCGTCCTGCTCCACAACAGTGTGCCCGTGGCCGACGGACTGCCCCACGAGATCAGCATCCACATAGACACTCATCGGCTGGAGATCTCCGTGGACCAGTACCCCACCCGCACCTCCAACCGCGGGGTCCCTAGCTACCTGGAGCCCCGTGGCAGCCTCCTCCTCGGGGGCCTGGACGCGGAGGCCTCTCGCCACCTCTGGGAGCACCGGCTGGGCCTGGCCCCAGGCGCGGCCAACGCCTCCCTGCTGGGCTGCATGGAGGACCTCAGCGTCAACGGCCAGCGGCATGGGCTCCGGGATGCTCTGCTGACGCGCCACATGGTGGCGGGCTGCAGGCCGGAGGAGGAGGAGTATGAGGAGGAAGTCTACAGCCCCTACGAAGCCTTCTCCACCTTGGCCCCCGAGGCCTGGCCCACTCTGGAGCTGCCCGAGCCCTGCACGCCCGAGGCGGGGCTGCCACCTGTCTTTGCCAACTTCACCCGCCTGCTGACCATCAGCCCGCTGGTGGTGGCCGAGGGCGGTGCGGCCTGGCTCGAGTGGCGGCACGTGCAGCCCACCCTGGACCTGAGCGAGGCGGAGCTGCGCAAATCGCAGGTGCTGTTCAGTGTGATCCGAGGGGCGCGCCATGGTGAGTTGGAGCTGGACATCCCGGGCGCCCAGGCACGGAAGATGTTCACCCTCCTGGACGTGGTCAACCGCAAGGCCCGCTTCGTGCACGACGGAGCTGAGGAGCCGGCCGACCAGCTGGTGCTGGAGGTGTCCGTGACTGCCCGGGGGCTGGTGCCCTCCTGCCTGCGGCGCGGCCAGACCTACATCCTGCCCGTCCAGGTCAACCCCATCAACGACCCTCCACGCCTCGTCTTCCCGCACGGCAGCCTCATGGTGATCCTGGAGCACACGCAGAAGCCGCTGGGGCCTGAGGTCTTCCAGGCCTATGACCCGGACTCGGCCTGTGAGGGCCTCACCTTCCAACTGCTGGGCAGTCCCTCCGGCCTCCCCGTGGAGCGCCGGGATCAGCCCGGACAGCCGGCCACCGAGTTCTCCTGCCGCGAGCTGGAGGCGGGCAGCCTGGTCTACGTCCACCGGGGCGGCCCCGCACAGGACCTGACGTTCCGGGTCAGCGACGGGCTGCAGGCCAGCCCCGCAGCCACGCTGAAGGTGGTGGCCGTCCAGCCGGCCATCCGGCTCCTCCACAACACTGGGCTCCGCCTGGCGCAGGGCTCGGCAGCGCCTATCTTGCCAGCCAACCTGTCGGTGGAGACCAATGCAGTGGGGCAGGAGATCAGCGTGCTGTTCCGGCTCACCGGAGGCCTGCGTTTCGGGGAGCTGCAGAAGCAGGGGGCCGGCGGGATGGAGGGCGCAGAGTGGCGGGCCACGCAGGCCTTCCACCAGCGCGACGTGGAGCAGGGCCGCGTGCGGTACCTGAGCACGGACCCCAGCCGCCGCGCCGAGGACACAGTGGAGTACCTGACCCTGGAGGTGCAGGTGGGCCGCGAGATGCTGAGCAACCTCTCCTTCCCAGTGAGGGTGCAGAGGGCCGACATCTGGCTGCTGCAGCTGGAGCCCCTGCACACTCAGAACAGCCGGCAGGAGGCCCTGACCACAGCCCACCTGGAGGCCACTGTGGAGGGCACAGGCCCAAGCCCCGCCTCCTTCCACTACAAGGTGGTGCAAGCCCCCACGAAGGGGAACCTCCGGCTGCAGGGCACCCGGCTATCCGCCGGGCAGAGCTTCACCCAGGATGACCTGCAGGCGGGGCGGGTGACCTATGGGGCCACCGCTCGGGCCTCAGAGGCCGTAGAGGATGCCTTCCACTTCCGCGTCACGGCTCCGCCACACTTCTCCCCCCTCTACACTTTCCCCATCCACATCGGTGGGGACCCCAGTGCCCCTGTCCTCACCAACGTCCTGCTCTCGGTGCCCGAGGGCGGCCAGGCCGTCATCTCTGCTGACCACCTCTTCGTGAAGACCCTCAACAGTGCCGGCTACCTCTACGAGGTCATGGAGCGGCCCCGCCACGGGAGGCTGGCATGGCGGGACACGCAGGACCAGGACACCACGGTGATGTCCTTCACCAACGAGGACCTGCTGCATGGCCGGCTGGTCTACCAGCACGACGACTCAGAGACCACTGAAGATGATATCCCGTTTGTGGCCACCCGCCAGGGCGAGGGCAGCGGGGGCACGGCCTGGGAGGAGGTCCGGGGCGTCTTCCGCGTGGCCATCCAGCCCGTGAATGACCACGCCCCTGTGCAGACTGTCAGCCACGTCTTCCACGTGGCTCGGGGTGGGCAGCGGCTGCTCACCACCGACGATGTGGCTTTCAGCGACCCGGACTCGGGCTCTGCCGATGCCCAGCTGGTGCTGACCCGCAAAGACCTCCTCTTCGGCAGCATCGTGGCCGTGGACGAGCCCTCGCGGCCCATCTACCGCTTCACCCAGGAGGACCTCCGCGAGAGGCGGGTCCTGTTCGTGCACTCGGGTGCCGACCGCGGCTGGATCCAGCTGCAGGTGTCCGACGGGCAGCACCAGGCCACCGCCCTGCTGGAGGTGCAGGCCTCGGAGCCCTACCTCCGCTTGGCCAACGGCTCCAGCCTCGTGGTCCCCCAGGGGGGCCAGGGCACCATCGACACGGCCGTGCTCCACCTGGACACCAACCTGGATGTCCGCACTGGGGACGAAGTCCGCTACCAGGTCACCTCCGGCCCACGCTGGGGGCAGCTGCTCCAGGCTGGCCAGCCGACCTCGGCCTTCTCCCAGCGGGACCTGCTGGACGGGACGGTCATCTACCACCACAATGGCAGCCTCAGCCCCCGAGACACCCTGGCTCTCTCTGTGGAGGCGGGCTCCGTGCGCACAGATGCCAACCTGCAGGTGACCATCGCCCTGGAGGGCCCACTGCCCCTGCTGCACCTGGCCCAGCACAAGAAGATCTATGTCTTCCAGGGAGAAGCTGCTGAGATCAGGCGCGACCAGCTGCAGGTGAGGGCAGCAGCCGGCCTACGGGGCCTCACACCTGGGTGTGGATGTGTGTGCTTTAGGGTCTGACTGGCTGACCTGTGACAGATGTGTGTGCTTGTTCTGAGTGTACACCTGCATGTGTAGCACATGCGAAGACCGCTAAGGAGTTAATAGGTTGTGCTATCTGCCTGGGAGTTGTGTGTGTGCTTGGCACATGCACGCATGGTACACGCTGTGGCCAAAAAAGCACACTGCCGGCCTCCAAATCACAGGCTCTCCAAAGTAGAGCGTGGTCCCTGGGAAGCTGGCTGTGGGGATGGGCTTAGCTGCCCCCCAAGGGGCTTCTGGGAAAACTGGTGACACGTGTGGGCGGCCAGCAAGTGGGCCTCAGAGGAGGCAGCTTTGGGGTCAAGCTTTAAGGAGGCTGGTGTGGACAGAAGAGTCAGACACAGTCAGGAACGTGTACTCGGGAGGATTGTGGAGGGCAGTAGGGGTGACGTATAGCATTTGGTTAGGGAGCACCGAGCTGTGGGTGGGTTGGGCTGACAGTGGGGGACCCTGGTCCCTGAACAAGCATTTAGCAATCCTCTGGTGGTGTGGGATAGCAAACCTGGCCAACTGGTCACCACTCGAAGAGAGGGGCGAGTGTGTGCGTACACAGGAGTGTGTGTTGAGATTGCATGTCCCTGGGTCTGAGCAACTGTACCTCTCTGACCATTTAACTAAGCTCCTTCCTATCTGCGTGACTGGGTGGTGTGTGAGCATGCGTGTGTGAGGTGTACATGTGTGCATCATGTAAGTTCCCTCCAACCAGCTGCAAGTCTGGGTGGTGTGTGTGTGTGCGTGAGTGTGTGTGTGATGTGTACATGTGTG